GGAAAGCAAATGCTTCCCCCTGAGATGTCCCTGGCCAAATATAGTAAGAGCAAACTTCGACATAATATGCAGTAGATCTAAACTTCTTTCTCAATATAACACTTGTTAAAATTAATCACAATTTTCAATTGTCAGCAAGGACCTGAGGAAGGGCAGCTGCTGACGTCACTCTGCTGCCCCCGCTGCTCAGAATGCTTTTTCGTTTTCGAGTTATGGACAGTACTTTGCTGGCAGACCATGAAAACGAAAAAGCAATGTCTGCTGTGTTTTCTCTTTGATTGTGGCATAAAATGTGCAGTCTTAAAGAAGAAAATGCAAATGCAAATAGGATGATTGATTACAAATTTCATTTATGAGTCAAGTAATGTAGCCACATTCTTAAAATGAAAACGCATAGAAAAGGTAGAAAAGTAGACCTAAGGCTGGAAGACTATGCTCATAAATCACAACCATAAAACAGCAAAACAATAACTCTACTTACAATAACTAACTATCTGAAGATATAAACTAAAGGTCACCGATCAGTTCTAAAAAAATCTTTAGGCAAACACATGTTGATCATTGGAGAACCGCCTTGTCAGATTAGCACCTTACAAGGAGTTTTTAATCACTGTTGAATTTTATATGAGGCTATTTACTCATGCCAATGGTCTGTCTTACTTTATAGATTTTATTCATGTTAACCAATTTAAATGATTAATTAGGCATTCCATCACAAGAGAAAAACTATCTTAACATATTTTTAGGCCTGTATGTTTCAAATACTGCCTCACTGTCATCACCAGAAGTCTTGTTGAAGTCTCATCAGTCTGAACTCCACCAAGTGACATTTCTCAGAATTTGTTCACATTTGTGAACACTACCCTGTGTATGTTTAAATCTCTTCTGCATGTTTGAATGATCCTGGGTGTGAACCATATGTATTAGAAATACGGAGACTCTTTAAGCATCTTCAATAAGCCCTTTGTATGAAAGAAAAACATTACTGATCTTTTAAAATAACGGTTACATTCCTTTGTTCTTATCAATACCCTGGTAGTAGGGTATTCTTATTCAAAGTTAACGGCCGTCAAAACTTTTTTCAATACAAAATTTGGAAAAATCTGACTTAAAGTAAAATGTGTAAACCCTGAAAGAAGCACCAGTTTTCTTAAAATTAGAAAACAATTAAACAATCAGACATGTACTTGCAAATACTCAGGAGGCGATTGAGGATTGTCTAACGGCATGTTTACAATAACAGTTCTGTCTCCAGCTTTGATCCAGTGTAGTTTAGGTTTAGCTGCCTAATCAATTTGACCACATGTTGCTCAGTTACTTTTAAACTGCAGTTAAAATGAAGTTTGTTTTTGTTTTTTTCTGTTTTTCATGGTCATGGCTCTAACTTGCTGTTTTGTCTGTTTTTCAGATGGTAATTTCCTGAGCTTCTTTCCAACACTGCTGAGCTGTCTCGCCTTAAAGAAAAAATGGAAAAAAGAAACAACCAATGAGCTTTAAAAGGAGTAAAAAAATATGATTTACAGTATATACCACACCAGCAGAGATTGTGGAAAAAAAGAAATATATCTATCCATATCACTGAGGAAATAAAAAAAATACTTACTTATAAATGAGAGTAGCATCTTGTAATGGTTTTTGATTCCTGTGAATAATTGAAGAACAATTATATAAAACAATTAGCAACAGAAGTTACTGTGATTTTATTAAGGTAAAAGTCCATAATTCATAGACGTACCTTTGCTGATAACTTATATACAGGAAAATACCAATGATAACTATCATCAGGATTGGAAAAGTTAAAGGCCATCCTGGAGAAAGAAGATGAAATTTTTCTCAAGAATAGAACAAACTGGGAAAAAAAACTAAACAACGTGAGAATCTGAATATAACTTACTGGAATCTCGGAGAGATGATTCTGATTGTTTTTCCAAACCTAATATAAAAAAAAAAAAAAGGTCTGCAGTTCACGTTTTCTTGCAATAAAGCTCCAACATAAGTAGACTTTGGTGAGATTTTATGGGATTATATTTGGTCTTCCCCTTCAGAATATTAGCTGATTGTCTAAAACTCAATAAAATTCATTAATGTTTGGCTGTACCTTCACAAAATGTGGCAA